GATTGCTCAGTATAGCCATGATGGTATTGGCTGAAAGACTCGTGTAAAGTTTGTCATCAGTCATTGGTGGACTCACCCGGACGATCACACTATACGAACTACTGATACTCCTGGGTTCAAACCATTTACTGTATAACAACATCGTCTCCAACGACATAAAAAGGATGTTATCTTGACGTAAAAAGGACGTTATGTTTGTAGTGTGAACATGTAGACACAATGACATATTTAGCAACATAATAGCATGAACATAACAACATAAAGATAGTACTGATCTTTTCTTTATGTTGTTATGTCGATGTCGTTATGTCGTTAGTGTGAACCAGGCTTTACTCTTTATGTGTACCTGTTTAGAAGTATCTGTATACTTCCTTCTCGATGACTGACCTGTAAGTGCAATTAAATGAATTTAGAAAAGAGCCCAAAGAATACATGCGTGCTAATTGGTTTTAAATTGTGTTTCTGTTAAATGATTAGATTATGAGCTCAAGATTTCTGTCGAATGATAGTTGACGAGGGCGCAACCAGAGTCAACTATTACGCATGGAAATCGAGAGCGAATAATCCAATAATAATTATTTGTTTTAGTATAAATCTACTAGTCATCCAGAACTTTATTTTAATCCCCTTCCTGGGCACCCAACAGATTGTTTCGCTACTTTATCAGTTCGGAAGGCGTTTAATCCCCTCTGATTTTCTTAAGAGAATTGTCACCTCGAACTTTAGTGATATGAGAAATTTAATGTCTGTTGTTTTCGGATTGTCAAAGATGTTGTTTTGGCTACCGAAAAAAGGTTAGCTATCATTTTCGGAAAGACGATAAGACCTTCAGGAAATGGACAAAAAAGCCCTAATAAATTCAAGAATACTCAAGTTCCCCTAGAATAACCAAACAGATAAAAAAATTTTAGCGCAACCTAAAATTAACCAACAGAGCTATAAAAGTACTCCAGATAGCCTAAAACAACAAACAGTTGTTGAGTGCCCCTGCCCCTTCACAGACACCTCCAAAATGTAAAGAAGCGACGGTCATTTTGTTCACATTTGCACACTTCTGCACTGTTCACTATCTCCAACAGAATAGATAGTGAGTAGCATAGCTAATCAGAGTACAGCATTCATGATAGAACCCTAGTAGATTTATACTAAAACTCAATAGAAATAGAGAACTAACATGAGCTGTTGACGTAATGATGACGCTAGCAAAGAGAACTTACATTTTGATGATCAAAGTAAACAAGTTGTTTTCTCTTTTTGGTACATGTTTTCTACAATGTATTTCCTAAATAATATGTACAGTACAGTAGAAATAAAATACTTGTTTCATACATTTTTTTAGAACTAAACAAGATAGGTCAATTATAGGGCTGTTGTTAAGGACCATAACCCATAAAACCTGCTATGACTGAGTATGCTTGATGGGCCCTTGATGTTACAGGCCAAGGCTGAGGTCTTAGAAAAATTACGAGGAGCCAAAAGGTTCCTAACCATGAAGCCCTGGGTGCCCAGCACTTAGCTTCTATGAAAAAAGTATGTTTTTCCATTTTCCCAAAGGTAAAAGTTGGTTGCCTGTGGCACCCGGGCAATGCTTAGTTTTAGAGCACAGTCCTGTTTACAGGTGAAATTGTCCTGCCTTTTGTCGATTCACCCACAAAGTTACAAGTTTGCTATGGATTTCAAAATCAAGGCAACACAAGACTCAGAACTAAACCATGAATTACAGTGCTTTTTCAATACCAGTATTTTGTGTAACAGAAACTGTTAATAATGGTGTCATTGTTCAACCAGTGAAGTTGTTTTCCTTAGCTTTCAATAGCATACTAAGATATAGTGCAAACCAATTAGGAAAATTTCAACATATTTCAGTTCTCCGAAAAACTTGGCTTCAAGGCTTAGGGAAATACTTATACACCAAAGGATACACAGTGAGGTTAAAGGATGAAAAAATAATACTTCTTTCGTTTTATTTCTCAAAGCTCTGGAGCCAAATTAGACTTTTAACATACAAAACTTGGTCTATTGTGTGCTGCTTTGCTGTTCCTAAGTTCATGCAGGTAGGTGTACACAAGCAGAATGTTATTTGACGACAATGTCATGGAACATAGCAATATGCACAAGTAGAGAAATTGTAGGCAATGATGTGTAGATAACATTAGTAGTGATCTTTTAACCAATCATAAAGCAATCACAAAGATGAAATAATACACTGAACAGTGCATTAAGTTTGTACAGAATATCAAACCTACCCATTTTCAAATACTCTTGCAAAATTTCATGAGGACCATGCTTAAGTCTTTCACGGAGTTTATCTCTCCTTTCTCTCAGTTTTTCCACTGAATTTTTTGTAAAAAAAAAAACCATAAGACTGTTAGAAATCATATTAATTAAGGTACCTACATGGACATATTTTGCAGGCATTAGTTGTGCATTTGTTTTAAAACTTTTGAACATAGCAACAAATAGCTCTTGTCTTCCATCAGAGAAATAAGTTTATTTTCCAAGCTCCCTTACTGTATGCTCCAGAAACTAGATTCTAGAGCTAGTAGGTTCTCATGTATAGGCTTTGTTTACAAGATAAAGAGTATTCATTTGATACTACATTGATTTAGTTTGGCAATCTTCATATCTGAATTTATACCTGCATTTCCTACCTTTAGTTTTCAAGTCAACAAGTTCAGCGTTCTCTTGTTTGGCATCTTCGTATTCAGCATTGCGTCTAGAACATCATTGAATCAAGGACATATGCTATCTGTCAACCTTTGCAAAGCGGCTAAGGCGAGGTTAAATTTTTCGTTGAATTAACGTCATATCTACACAACAAACTTTACTGTCATTAAGAATTTCTTCTACTTGTTTGTTTCGCTAAATTTTTATACCTGTCAGCTCTTTCTTGCAGTCTTTGAAGGTCATACAATGCACCTTCTTGTTCGAGTGACATCTTGGTCGCCATGTTTCTTCTCCAATTTCGTCCCCAGACCAGCTCGATTAGTCATAATTTCGCGCGTTTTTCTGAACTCTGCCCCAGACTTCACCATCCATCTATCACAATCATCGGTTCTTATTTTGGCTCTCTGAGGTGTGCTCGAATGGTTAAACTGACGCTATTCAGTAAATATTATTAGTACAGTCGAACCTCGATTGTCCGTACCTCGATTATCCGGATTTCTCGATTATCCGGACTTTTTCTCTAGTCCCAGTTTTGTCATGAATCTTTATTAGTCATGATCAAGATCCGTAGCAATATTCTTTTTAAAACTATAGCATTGAAAAGTGCAGTCAAAAGCGAGTTTGTTTTGCTTTTAAAAAGCAAAGGCAGCGCACGCACATGTCGTAACTAATGAAGAACACTCGAATGAGTTCTGATTTTCGTTCTGATTGGCTCAGAGTTGAGTGGTTCAAGATGTACAGTAGACCATATTGTTTTCCAAGCGATTTGTAAAAGTGTTTTTTCACGATTAAGGTGGTATGGTACCCTCAATATGGACCAAAAAGTTTGTTTAAATATGGTGAAGAAAGATCAATTGCGTACTATTGCACTCAAGAAGAGAAATTAAATTTCTAGAGTTTTACTCAAAATGGTTGCTATGGAAACCAGCCACAGCCTTTTGAAGTAGTGTTTTATAGTA